GTGTGAGAGGCGAGGGGATGGCAGGGGGCTGGTGAGGAAGACCGCCCTGATGGGCCTGCTTTTCACTGATCCCCAAACGAGACCATGTGGGCCCAATCCAGTGAGCACTAATTTTTCCTTTGCATGGAAGGATCTTGAAAAAGAAGGCTTGAAGGAGAAAAAGAGAGATGTTGTGATCAAGAAGAGGAAGAACTTGGGGAGAGAGGAAGGACTCTTTCCCTGATTCCCTGGGCATCAGCCAGCCCGGGCAACCCACACATTGCTCAATTTGTTCTCACTTCTGCCCCAGGCTGGCACTCCCGCTCCGACCCTGAGGAACTAGCACACCCACCCCCCACCCCAGCGCCACAGCCCTCACCAGTGCCGGCCCGCTGCATGGCCCCAGGAGACAGTGCCATGCTTCCTCAGGCCAGTGTATGTGTCTGACGTGTGGCACTAAGGGTGGTTATTGGGAGGCACCCTGGTGTCGTGCAAAAGCTCCGGCATGAGTGGAGACCAAGATATTGAGGCTCCTGTCTCTGGTTCTTCCAGAACTAACAATGTGACCTTGGTCCAGTTACCTTCCCTCTCTCAGCCCGTGTTTTTTCATCTGTCTGATGAGGCCTCTGAGGACACTTCTAGCCTTAGGATTCTGGAAGGCAGAGCTCGTCATAGGGTTTGGTGCCTTTGCTACACGCTCAACGTATGTGGTTAAAAGCAGATGTGCTCTTTAGAGAATACCCAAATTAAGAATAAACTCTTTCCTGGACAAACACAAAACAAAACTTGGAGAAGACTTTCAGAGGACTCCCAACTATACATGGAAGATGGACCGCACACATTTATCTCCTCCCAGTATAACTTGGTGCTTAAGAGGCCTCTGCTTCCGGGGCCACACTACCTGAGTTTGAATCCCAGCTCTGCCACTTACAACTGACTGAACAAGAGCAAGTCCCCGTCCATTTCTTCATTTGTAAAACAAAGATAAAAATAAAAAATAAAAATAAATAAAAAACAAAGATAACAACCTCCCTTTCCACGACAGAGGGCTGCTAGTGGAGACAGAGTTACTGGTAGAAGCCCCAGGGGATGCAGAGATGAGGCCAAGGGTGGAGGGTGCAGGGGGGACTGTTGGCTGTGGGAAGGGTCAGCTGGCTGTGCACTGGCTTTGCAGGGAGGACGAGCCTGGAGGAGCAGGGCAGGAAGCACAGAGCGGTGTGGGAACAGGAGTGTCAGGAAGACAGGTGACCAGGGGACTTTTACACTGGACAAAGCATGGCTGGGGGTGGCAGGATGAGAGACATGGTGGGACAATCTGTCTCAAGATTCTAAGTCAAACTCAGGTTTAAGACCCTTTCAGGCCAGGCATGGTGGCTCACGCCCTATTATCCTAGCACTCTGGGAGGCCGAGGCAGGCGGATTGCTCGAGGTCAGGAGTTTGAAACCAGCCTGAGCAAGGGCGAGACCCCGTCTCTACTATAAATAGAAAGAAATTAATTGGCCAACTAATATACATAGAAAAAATTAGCCAGGCATGGTGGCACATGCCTGTAGTCCCAGCTACTCGGGAGGCTGAAGCAGAAGGATTGCTTGAGCCCAGGAGTTTGAGGTTACTGTGAGCTAGGCTGACGCCACAGCACTCTAGCCTGGGCAACAAAGTGAGACCCTGTCTCAAAACAAAAAACAAAACAAAACAAAACAAAACAACCCTTTCATAGACTCACTGGCTAGTGTATATGGCTACATTATTTTTCTTTGTCAGACTTGCTTTGTGCCCTGGTAACTTTCCACCCTTACTAGACCGGGGAAGTGCATTCAAAGTCCTAAGGGGAGAATAGTCACCTACAGAGCCTTTCAGCCTCAGTCCTGGATGAAGAAATTGACAGGGAAGGCATGGGTCAGGGCAGGAACCCCAACTTTCCCAGGAGCAGGAAGCCCCCTCTTCTAATTCCTTAGTTCTTTTTTGTTAAGAACAGTTTTATTGAAGTACAATTCATATACTGTATAATGCACCCATTTAAAATGCACAGTTCAAAGGTTTTTGGTATATTCAGAGTTATACAATCCTCTGTATAATCAATTTTAGAACACTGTTATCACCCCCAAAAGAAACCTTGTACTCATTAGCCGTAACTCCCTCCCCCACCGCCAACACCATTCCCTAGGCTTAGATGGCCACCAATCTACTTTCTGTCTCTATAGATCTGTCTATTCTGGATAAATAAAATTGCAGTTGCCCCTCTGTATCTGCAGGTTCCACGTCTGTGTATTCAACCAACTACACATTGAAACTATTTGGGGAAAAAACAATAAAAATAACAATGCAATACAAAATGAAAAAATATAAATTAAAAAAATATAGTACAAGCTGGGCATGGTGGTACACGCCTGTAGTCCCAGCTACTCAGGAGCCTGAGGCAGGAGGATTGCTTGAGCCCAGGAGTTCAAGGCTGCGGTGAGCTGTGACCTCAACTGTGAACAGCCACTGCACTCCAGCTCGAGCAACACAGCAAGACCACATCTCTAAAAAAATAGTTCTTTAAAATACAGTATGACAACTATTTAGCATTTACATGGTATTAGATATTATAAGTAATCTAGAGATGATATAAAGTATACAGGAGGATGTATGTAGATTATATGCAAATAGCATATCATTTTATATAAGGGACTTTATATAAGATTTTGGCACCAGAGGGGATCCTCAAGAACAACTATATATGTGGTCTCTTTGGATTGGTTTCTTTCACTCAGTTTTCTAGGTTCATCCATGTTGTAACAAATAGCAGAACTCCATTCCTTTTTGTAACTGAATAATATTCCATTATATGGCTATACCACATTTTATTTATCCATTCGTCAGTTGATGGACATGTGAATCATTTCCACTATCTGGCTGTTATGGATAAAGTTGCTCTGAACAGTCATGTGTAGGTTTTGTGAGGACATGTGTTTTCACTCCTCTTAGATATATACAAAGGAGTGCAATTGCTGGTCCTATGCTTATAATTCCTTAATTCTTTGCACATACTTCCATTTCAGAACTTTGCATGCTCACCAAAAGTGCTCACAGGTCAGCTTGTCCTGGAAGACTGTGAGCTCTTTAGCTTTCTACTGGCACCTACGGAGCACCAAGTAAACATGTGGCAGGGCCCCTCCGTGTCAGGTGCTGCGAATTACAGAGACCGGTTCCAGGAGGAGCAAGAAGAGTTTGCCCACAGCAGACAGAAGGGAGGCAGAGTTTCAGCAGCTGGGCGCATGTGGGTGTGGTGGAGGGCTGAGTGTGGTCTCTTCTGGACACTATATTTTCTAGAGAGATGGGAAGCAAAGTGACCAGCTGAGGGTAAGGACACAGGATCGGAGGTCTAAGAAGAAAGGAGGTAAGGAAATAGTGACAGGTCAATGCAATGAAGACATCTGAGAAACACCATGAATCCGCCTTAGGTTTGAGGTCATCAAAGGGAAACTAATCAGCCTGGTGGTGGCCTTTCCTCCGGGCATGTTCAGCAGTTTGGGTTCAGGGAGGGAATGGTGCAGGTGACTAAGTGTGGCTGGGATCTGGCCAGATGAGAATGACCAGTGAGAGAGGGAGTGAAGGTCCCGGAGTAAGTGTGATGATGAGCCGGATGAGAAGGAGAATGAGAACTCGAAGGGGCTCAGGGAGCAGGTGGGGAGATCACTGTCTTGCAGGGTCTAGGAGGGTGGAAGAGTTTTTGGAATCGGAGCCCTCAAGGGAGTGATGAGGAAGACAGGAAGTGGGACTGGAACTGAGACTGTGGGGCTGCAGACACTGCAATGGGAAGGTCAGGAGTACAATCAGGGGGCGGCTAGCTGAGAAAGGAAGAGGACAAGATCATGCCAGAGGACTAGATCTGTAGATTTTTGAAAGCATTCAAATTCTGAAAGAAGTAGTGTCAGAGACAGGACTTTGACGTGGTGCTGAAACCGCCAAGGAATGAGGACTGACACACATTACTGGAAAAGGGGGTGTTGGGTGGAGATGATCTGCTGGCGCGAGCATCGGCACTGAGGAAGGAGCAAAGGTCTGGAGGCAGAGAGGAGTGAGGAGGACGTCTGCCCTCCCTCCGGGCCCCACATGCAAGGGGTACAGGAAAGAAAGCAGCTACCCCTTAGGGGGCTGTGGCAGGCAGCTTAGGGGCGAGCCAGGTTCAATTAGAACAGAAAGGTGAAGGGGACGTGCAAAGAAGAGGATATAGGGAGCGTTGCATGGATGGGTGGGGTCACACACAGGGCCACCTGGGGACGAAAGTCTCTGTGGGAGTCCTGGGCACCCCACAGGGCCTGGAATACAGGGCTTGGTAAGATGAGGCTGGGACAGACTCAGACAGGAGGTGGGGAACGGAGGGATGTGGGTCTTCCCAGCAGTACGCAGGCTCTGGGGCCCCTTCCTCACTCTTGCCGGGGCCATGGGGAGGTCCGATGGAGGCTGTCGCACAGAGAACACACACCTCCCCAGGGCCCTTCTCCTGAGGCCTACCTTGGAGTGCAGCACGCCTACGTCCTCTTTCAGGTCGCAGACTCCCACATGACAGGAATCCCAGGAGCTCACCAGCTCGGGCATTTGCGTGGTGACTCTGGTTCACATGGTGGCTGCCAGGGGCCTTGCACCTATCTGCCTCCTCAGGACTGGCTGCCGTTGTGTATTTGTGTATAACTTTACCATTGCCCAAGTCTTGCCTGATATTTACCCCCAACATGACAGCCAACTAACACGATACACTAAGTGGGTTAAGTCTCTTGCCCCGCCCATATCACGCAACTGCATGGGCTGGTGGCCACCTGGTCCTTTCAAAAGACGAGAAGACCCTTGTGCTCACTTGCCTCCCGTCTACAACCGTGGACCCGGTAATGGGTCCATCTTCTCCCTCACTCCACAACTGATCCTGCAATGAATTATTTCCCCCTAAAGCAAAAAAAGAAATAGAGTATAGATTCTCAAAAGATATGTGACTTGTATTTGTCTATCTTAACAGGAAAAAAATAGCAAAACCACCTAGTTATTTCTGTACATATTTACAATTTTATTAACAAATGTTACTCTCTCCAGTAAAAACAATTTAGTGACAAGAAACCAAGCACCAAAATCATATGATATGCTGATGGTAGAGTAGAAACTAATGCTGGTTAGTTGATACTTCTTCTAAAAAGTAGAGCTGCTGCTGAAGGCTTCTTCAAAGGCTTGTAGAGTTTCCTTCAAGAGCTGCACCTCTCAAATGGGAAACTCTCAGATGGCTTTATAAACTCTTTTAAAATAATTTAGTTTTTACACCTTTGGCTTCATCTTCTTCTGCAATTGGGAAAAATAAATTCATATTAGTAACTTGTAAAATTATCAATTGTATCAATTTATCAAAAGTCTTAATTATCCTCCTATTTTAATGTGAGTAAACCTTTTGGAATAAACTCATCAAAGGCAAAGGAGCCAAAGGGCACAGATGGAGGAGAATGAATGGCCTGGGCCCTCATGGGGTGGTGCCCTGAGTCCCACCTGAAGCGCGGCCTTCAGTGTGTAGCACTACCTGGCCCAGGGCTCCTCCCACCAACTCAGTCTGAGCATCGCTAAAATTACCCAACAACAGAGCTGAGACTGTAGGACTCGTATATAAACTGTCACTGCTGTCTAACGGCTATTTCCTTCTTTGCCACATGAAACTCCTGGGCATGGTTTTCTCCCCACCTCAAACTTCTCTTCCTGTTCGGTCACCTTTGTGACAATGACAGAACAATCTCAGGGTGGCTCAGAGGAGACCAGCCAAAAAGTGGAGCCACAGCCCTGCCTGGGCAAGCCCCTTCGAACTGAGGTCCATTTCCTGGTCGTTTGCCTTCCCCATGGTCTGTGTATTTCCACGGAGCCCGCGAATCAGACCAAGCCAGAGTTCCCCAAGCATTCGTATTCCATTGGTAAAGAAAATTCATGAAAAATTAGTGTGGTGGTCACAAGGGTGAGGTGAAGGGAAGCAAATCAGAAGCTTTCCTATCAAGAACCTCACTGGATGTGGAACAGGTGCTGTGAATTTCTGAGACAGGGACAAAGAAAGTGGGCGATGCTCCTCAAACTAGCACAGGCACACAGGACTCCTGGAAGAGGCACCTGGGTAGCTGAGTGCCCTCTCAGCCCCCTGCCTTCTCCCAGGGGCTACGGCCAAGGAATCAAGCCTGCTTCTCCAGCTCAGTTTCCCTGGGTAACCTGAGCACTGTTCCACCTGGCAACTAAGGAGAAAGAAAACCTCATGGCCCATCCATCAGTCCCCCTGCACCTAGACCCTCGCCGCTGCACAGCGATCCTTCCTTCATCCCCACACCAGCCACAGCAGCTCACTCAGCAGAGCCACGACCCTAACCGACCACTCATCCCCTTCTGTCTCTCTGCAGCTCTGGCATGTGGCCTCCCCCTGGGGATCACGAACAAGTGCTCCCCGCTCTCCTGCTAGACTTGCTCCTCCAGTCCTGGCTCCTCTGCCTCTTCCCACCACCTGAGGGCACCTGGCTTTTCTTTCCTGGTGACCTCAGATGCTCAGGACATCAATTACTGGCCTGATGGAGATGCTCCCCAATCTGTAACTCCAGCCCCGGGCCTGAAACCTGCATCTCCAATTCTGTGCCTGGACGTCACTACCCAAGCGATACACCAGCACCCAAACTCAAATGCATCCTTTTTCTTCCCAAGAAGATTCCTGTATGACTCTGCTACACTTGCTAGTGCCATCACCTTCTAGGCACCAAGGGTCAAAATTCCTGCTGCTTTGATTTTCTGTCTTGAATAATAATATTTTAATAATAATCACAATAGCAAACATTGAACACTATAGTGAGCCAGTCACTGTCCTAAGCATTTTACTTATGTTAACATATTTCTGCACATTGCTATTTCTATGCCACTGTTATCTATACTATCATTGTTATTTCTATACTATCATTATGCCCATTTTCCACAGAAGACAACCAAGGCACAGAGTTTAAGTGACTTGTCTGAGGTCTGTGAGAGACGGAGCTGGCATTTGGGCCCAGGGAGTCTGGCACCAGAGCCTACGTTCTGAAGCTCTATTAATAGGACGGCTATAGTTGTTCTCAGACCTAGCCCTGCAAATTCAATCCCACCACTACCACACTCACTCCTCTGCTTGGCTGGATTATTTCATTAATCCACTAACCAGGGTCCCCAGCTCCAGTCTCCTGTCTATGAACTCGTCCCTGCTCTGCCGGCAGAGTGATCTTACTAAAGCATAGCTCTGCAAAAAAAAAAAAAAAAAAATCTCTGTGGTTCTCCCCACCGAATGACTCAAGCCTCCCACAATGTCTCGGCCTGGCCTGGCCTGCCAGTCCAGCCCCGTGCTCCTCTCACTCCTCCACGCTCACTGCTCCGTCTCCTGCCCTGTGTGCCCTAGGCCTGTCTCTTCCCTGCATCCCTCAACGCCCCCTCCTGGGCCCCTGTCTCCTGACCACCAGTGGGATCGGTCAGGAGGGGGCCTTCTGGAGCATCCTTATGGCAGTTTACTAAACCGACCTGCTGCTATTAATTCGTGTCCTATCTTTTGTTCGTGACTACGGGCCCAGCTCTGATCCTGGCTCTTGAAGTGAGCCGGATCCTTGATCCAACTTTTCCTGGGAGAGAAGATGGGGGGAGTATGTCACAGTGGTTAACATTACAACTCTTGGAGTCCAAAGACCTAGATTTGAATCCCAGCTCTACCATTTACTAGCAGTGTGACCTTGATGTCTCACTCGCCTTGTCTGAGCAGCACACGCATTTTCTCTAAGCAAGGAGTAATGCTATCCCCCCTGCAAGCCTCACTGAGAGGGTTCAAAGAGGTGATATACAGAAAGAGACTAGCGCAGTGCATGACACACCATTGGTACCTAATAAACGGCTAGAGCATCTGCTGATGCTACTTCTTATTACTGTACAAGGCAACCAATAAATGAATATAATCTGGCTCCCCAAGTAATAAGCACTCTACAGCAGGGCTGCTCCTGTGCTCGCACGCCATGCATAGTCTACAGGGTATTTAAGTGGTTTTGTCTAGCTACCACATTTCAGAAGATCTAAAACGAAGAAATTTTCATCTCAACTAAAAAACTGAACAAAGAAGCTGAAATGTAAGGTTATTGACTGCCTGTTAGAGATATGAATTCAGGTACCTGCCAGGCTGAGGTCCTGCCTCACGGGTTCTGAGATCCCTCCGGTACCTAAAAAAAAGGGAAAAAAAGATAGACATGAATTTGGAAAACTAAACCAGAGTCTTATTAAGATAGGATTTCCTAGTATTCTAAATGTTTTAATCAAATTGGCTATAGAATTGGTGCAAAGAGTTGTTCAAAAATTGGTCACTGTGTATTCTATACTCACAGAACATTGTAATTTGCTCCTGTATTTCAAGTGTTCCACAGCCACATGTGGCTCATGGCTACCGTTTTGGACACTGAGATAGTGTCCCCCCCAACCCAGGCACCAGCTCCTCCCCACAAAAGGCATCAGCCCTAGCCTGGAACTGTGCTAGTGGTCTAAGTGCCTGGTCAATAGGGTTGATAAAGTTGTTTGTCAACTACAACTAGGCAGCTGGAGCTGTTTGCATTCAACTCTCTGCCCCTCTGAAGGCTCCAGGCCAAGGGCTTCACTATTTCCCAACTAAATGGCATTAATGTTGAGATGCTTGCTGAACTGTTTTTTTTAGGGCAAAGGTTTTTTTTCCAGCTTACCCAGGGCCAATAGTACTGACCACTGGGGTAATTTTCTCTACATTGAATGAACATTTCTTTTTTTTAAGTTAAAGCAACCAATTCTTTTGAAGTTCTATGAGCCCTCAGTGCTACCTCCCTTTAGTTCAGACATCCTGGTGACAGACTCACAATACTGAGTGGAAAATGATTTTTGTTTCTGGGGACCAACCTGTTGAGGAGATGATTAACTATAATACTGCTATTTGGGCATTAAAAATACCTTTTAATTGTATTTATTTATTCATTTTTATTTGAAAATATTAATTAAGGGAGTACAAGTGTTTTTGTTACATAGATATCTTGTGTAATGCTTAAGTCAGGGCTTTTTGTGTGCCCATCACCTGAATAGTGTTCATTCGGGCTCTTTTTTGGTTCCAAATAAAGCTTGGGATATTTTTTCTAATCTGTGAAATATGATGCTGGAATTGGGGATTGTGCTGAATCTGTAAATCACTCTGGGCAGTATAGACATTTTAATGATGTTGATTCTACCAATCCATGAGCAGGGGATGTTTTTCCACTTGTTTTTATCATCTGCAATTTCTTTCATTAGTGTTTAAAAATATTTTTTTAAAAAACCACATGTGAACTCCCAAAATATTTTACACACTGATTAATACCTCAAAACTTTTTTCAGCTAATTGTTATAACATGGTTTAGGTAACAGTTAACTAACTGATAATCTACTATTAGGTTATTAAGTATGAAATGTTCGATTTCCTTAAGTACTAAGTTTGACAGTTGATATTGCTGACATTTCACTTTGACACTTTTTATTTTTATTGTGAAGGTACATCCTCAGTTTTTCAAACACACATCTTGTCTTGTGATTATCCTTCACATTTTTTAAGAGCAATTTTTGTGGAACCATAGACAAACATCAAAATTTTTGACTTCTGATAACTCAAACATTTGTGTTATTTTTGAATATGGGTTCTGTTTTAGAATCAATGTAGTGCAGACAGCTTAAAATATCAGCGAAGTTGATATTTAGGAAGGATCTGGCTAATGAACGTACAATATGTCAATGGTTTGAGAAGTTTCTTTCTGGTGATTTTGGTGATTTTAATGTTGAAAATGAGCCACTTTGGTGACCTGAGACCAAAATGGATAGTGATGAGCTGAAAGCTATAGTGGAAGCAAATCCATCTCAACCTATGTATGAATTAGCAGCAAGGTTTGACGTTACTAGTCCAACAATATTGGATCATTTGAAACAAATGGGCAAGGTAAAGAAGCTGGATAGAAGGGTTCCACATGAATTAATCAAGCATCAGAAGAGAAATCATCTCCAAACTTGCCTTTCTTTGCCGTCATGACATAAAAGCGAACCATTTCTACACCACATGTTATGTGTAATAAAAAATGGATTCTTTTTAATAATCCAAGCATTCAGCACAAGGGATGGACAAAGAAGTACTGAAACACAGTCCAAAACTGAATATTCATAAAAAAAAAAAAAAGCTAATGGTGTAATGGTGTCTGTTTGGTGGTCTAATGCCAGTATTATCCACAATAGCTTCATGAAACCTAGTCAGTCGATTACAGCGGATGTCTACTGCAACCAATTGAATGAAGAGGATGTTTGTGAGCAAGCAGCTGAGATTGGTCAACAGAGACAGGCCAATCTTCTTGCAAGACAATGCTTGACCACGTGTTGCACAAACCATGCTGCTCAAACTACAGCAGCATTGTTTGGACTTGGAAGCTCTCTGTCATCCACCGTATTCACCAGACCTTACGCCAACTGACTACCACTTCTTCCAGGCTTTGGACCACTTCTTTCAAGAAAAATATTCAATTCTGAACAAGCTGTGGAAAATATCTTTCACAATTTCATTGCCATTGGCTCTCCAGGCTTCTTTGCTGCTGGTATAAACAAGCTACCATTAAGATGGCAAAACTGTGTTGACAATTTAGACACATACTTTGATTAACTGTACTGCTTCTTGTTTGAGATATAATAAACTATACTTTTGATTTGAAATCAGACATTCCATATTTAATGATCTAATACTTTAGGGGTCTTCATGGTATTTGCAACTTATAATATAAAAATGGCATCCTCAGGAAATTAGATTCTAGCACTAATATCCCAAAATAGTCTATGTTAGCACTGACCAAGAGAATTTTCTGCAATGATAAAATTATTATTCATGCGGGCTATCTGATAGGGTAGCTACTAGCTAGACACTGCTACTGAGCACTCGAAATGTGGATAGTACAACTGAGGAATGAATTTTAAATTTAGTTTTAATTAATTAAATGTTATATTTAAATAAGAAACATTTGGCTAGTGAACTGGAATCTAGTTTGCAAACTCGATTCAAGACACAAGTGTGAAATAACACGGATCTTAGGTGCTCTGACCTTATACAAAGTTTACCCTTCACCATTCCCTTTGGGAGTTACAAATTAGCCTAGCAAATTTTCTTTTGGTTAAGGCTGGTATGGAAACTGCTGAGGCATCAAGAACATCTACTCTTCAAATTTACAGTGTGGTCCATGTCCTTTGGACTTGAGAGGGGTTCCTTGTCACCAGAAAAGAATAAGCTGGCGCTGGGGCAACAAAGTGAGGGAGCCCTTTGGCCGTCAGCTTGGCTCACAGCAGACTCGAGATACAGAGCAGATCCTGGCCTGCCTCAGCTCCCGAGTAGCTGGGACTACAGGCATGCACCACCATGCCCGGCTAATTTTTTGTTATATATTATATATAGTTGGCCAATTAACTTTTTCTATTCTATAGTAGAGACGGGATCTCGCTCTTACTCAGGCTGGTTTCGAACCCTGACCTTGAGCAATCCCCCACCCTCGGCCTCCCCAGAGTGCTAGGATTACAGGCGTGAGCCCCACCGACGACCGGGCCTGCACTTGATTTGTATGTCTCCATTTCGCAACCCTAAAGC